AAGGCAAGTAACAGTGTATCACTCAGCCTCATAAAGAAATTATGGTATCACTCTTTCTTTTGGATCATTTGTTTGTGTAAGTTAGCCACTACATCACCATGTCAACAGCTTCCTGGGCACATCCACACAATGAGGATCTAAATGCCTGTAAGAGTAAGCTCAAAAAACAGGTCTTCCAGCTTAGTCAAATTCTCAGATGACTTCAGGCCCAGGTAACATCCTAACTGCACCCTTACAAAAGCTCTTAAGTCAAAATACCCAATTAACCTGCTCCTAGATTTCTGACCTTCAGATACTTTGAGACGCCTGTTGTTCTAAGATGCTAAATTTTGGGATGATTTATTAGTAATAGATAATTTATAATATGGCTGGGGCAAAGATGTTTAAGCATAAGTCTAAGTATCATGAAAGACAATGATCACAAAATGCTAGTATTTCATCATCTAAAATATTATAATTTTACATTTTATAATAAAATGTCTTTCATGTGAATCAGTATGTAATAACGGATATTAAAAGGAGAAAAGGTTAGTTAAGCTAACACAAGACACTGAGAATGACTTCAATCAAATCTCATTGGCATTAGAAGTTTTTATTTGGAATTTGACCCACAATCTATACAAGTTATTTACAAGGCATGAAAATGGAAAACAGCACAAAATACAATTGAGGTATAAGCTAAGAGCACAGTATGTCATGTTTCAATAAATATAATTCAAATTTGTAAACTAAGTAACCAGATAGATGAGTCTTATTTTTTAGTAAAACCATATAAAATATTTATTTCACGTGAGGTAGAGGACAGTTTCGTATGTCATGTAATGCAACCAACCACAGAAATTTTATCAAAGTCAAATTATAGTCAATATAATCAGCGATTTGTTTCAACAGTCGCAGAACAAGTTAATTCAATTACTGCTTTCACAGGTTAGAAATTCAGAAATAATTTAAGACTGCTATGTTGGCTTAAAATTATCAGGATAAACGAGTACTTTTAACAGAAGTTAAAAGCCAAGTATGTTTTACTTCTCACAGTCGAATTCTCCAAAATGTTCTAGATTTCACAACTGTTTTAGTAAGATGTTTCTACTAGAACTACTTTAAGTATGCTGTGCTTTATTTTCAAGTGAGGTATCTATTGGAGAAAAAATCTTATAAATTTCTTACATTTAACTTTAAACACTATTTCATTTTCTGGGCTTAATTTTTAAATTTGTCTTTACATTTCATCACCTTCTAATTAAAAAAACAGTAGCACTGGCCAGAGATTTAGCTCAGTGGTTCTGCCGCCTGTCTCGCAAGCACAAGGACCCAGGTTCGATCCCTGATTCCACAAAAAACAAAATAACAGTAGCACTATATAAGACATTTAATTTTATTTCTAAACAGGCTCCAAATTGCATTATATAAAGCCATTTAAGTGGAAAGATTTTAAAAAAACAAAAACTGTCCTTTAGACAAAATGCAATATAAAATAACTATATGCTTTTATTCCAATAGTGGAAATGCTTAAGTAACCTATACTAGAAAAACCTTTTAAGTTGTTTAAATTATTCAATTCCACAACATATAATACAGCAGTTATATGTCCCTTATTGCTGCCAGTCAATAAAAACTATTAACAAGTAGTTCCAAGCCCAGGAACAGATGTACAGTATCAGCACAATTTTTCATTATATTTTTAATGTCATGTGGATTAAATGAATAAAGGGCAAATAAAAATGAGTGTTCTTCCCTAAATAATCAAAACAAAAGCCTTATCATTGAGAAGAAAATTTCAGAAGCTGATCAAAAACCTTCAGTGCTAATTTCGCAATTTATTCTAGGGAAATATCTTAAGTGTGTTTTACATTAGAGTTTCCTTTTTCATTTTATTTTCCTTCAAACAGAAACCACTGATGTGCAAAAAAAAAACCCCAAAAAACCAAAAACTGGTTGTTCTGTTGACTTCTAAAAGATATGGATAACCTGCAAGTATCATAGAACTTGGTTTATTTTACCTACTTTAATAACTGCTTTAAACTTCAATATTTACAAATGATTTTATATCTAAACTGGTAATATATTAAATGTTATAAAATTAGCTCAAGAAGCATAAAACATCATAATTCTCCCAGACACAAGAAATGCAAGCAAAACAAGTTTTATAAAAATTAAAAGCACAAGCCAAATTTAAGTTGGTACAATCTTTTCATAGCACTAAAGGGTTGCATTTGTAAAATCTGTGTTGTTTAAGAGCTTCCTCAATGACAGCAGGTTTTATATTTACTACCTTTAAAGATTTGGTTTATTAAACTATAGAAACTATGACCACCCAATTTAACATCACTCATCACCTAGTAAGCTAATATTCTTTCTAAAGATGCTCTAGCAAAACTATAGGCTGCTGTTCCTTTACTGCAGCTTTTTAGAGTAAATGTTTTTATTTTTCCTAAAAAGAATATTATGAACTCTGAGAAAAAATTGGCCTGCCTAGTGAACTTGGCACACAAAAACTAACACCAAAACAAACTTTAAATTAGCAACCAGTACACAAAATGAGCATGCAAAGAATAGAAGAATAAGTTCTATATGGGTAAGACTTTTAGCAGAGGTCATTTTTTAAAGTATTACAAAATCTCTATATTGTTTTCAAGCTATGTGGTGCAATTTAAATTAAAGTACTTTTAACAGCAATATTTACAATTGACTAAAAAACTATTTTCAAGGAAGTTAGAAACCTATGGCACATCAACGCATCTTCTAGAAAATGAAGACTATACAATGTCATGTGGCAAATTTTCATTATGTGAAGATTAGAAAAAAAATTCCTTTACTCAATTCTAAATCAAGGGTTTATAAATAACGGTGTTTAAGGACCAGTTAAGAATTCTAAAATAACATATTTCAAAGATAAGCAATTTATTTTAGACATTTTGGGCTGAAACCTAGGTAAGCTTACCATTTACTAAATAAAATCAGCCAAAAGCTTTTGAGTAAATTAGAAAAATAAGTAAAATTATAGATGCTTGCATTTGTCTCCCAAAAGAGCTGACTTGTGACACGATTAACTTACAACTAAAATAAAACTGTATCATAAAAGTCTGTAATTTTTCCTTGCCCAGATCTAAATGAATGGCACTGGGAGAATACATCATTTTAAACATTTGCTTTTGCACATTATTTTAACATGTGTTCATCCTTGAGAAGACTCAAGAATCAACAAATTAGATTATAGGCTTAATAAGGTTTAAATGCAAAATACCCATTAGATCACACTATATTTAAAGAAACAGCATTTTGCGAAGTACAAAGGTTCTTTTTGGATATGTGAGTACCATTAAGCAAAATATGAAAATAACCACTTAAATGATAATCAAAGAGATTTGAAGTTCTATACCATTAGATTATCTAGCTTCAATGCTGTAAACAGTATAAAACTTTAACAAAATTATTTTTTAAATAAAATAGCTTAAGGAATTTCACATAGTACCTTATGAGAACATGAAGAAAAAATTCATAGAATAATGTCAATGGTGGTCTCAGGAAACTTCCTTTAAAAAGATGTATACTGAGAATTTTACCTAATAACTTTTAAGCTAAGAATGAACTAATGTGAAATTTTCTATTTAAAATAACATTTCTGTGCAAAAAAAAAAAAGTGCAGATGTTGCCCTTCCCCAAACTGTGGAATTCCTTTGCCATCTAAAAATTATCTAAAAACCTTTGAAAAGCAAATAATTATAAACTATCCTATATTAACCTATCAAACTCTATTGATTGTAAATTCCTGACTTTGATATTAAAGTGTAATTGAAAATGTCCATTTGTGCAAATTTTGGTAAGGTAACATTTAAATATACAAAAGTCCAAAATAACCTTTCAAGCTGTTTAATATTTTATAATTTAAAGGAAAACAAATCCATTGTATAAATTTCAGGAAGACCCATAACTACATATAAAAACTGTACAGGACAGGATGGATTATATGGAAACTAATGTAATCAATGGAATCAGCTTTTCTCAAGAACATTAATATTTTCACACCACTAACATTTTAGACATTTCTAACAGTTCAGAAATTAATTTTCTGAATTCACTGCAAAAAATTCTAAATACAACCACATTTAAACTAAAAGACAAATTACAACTGCATTTTGTGTTTAGCAGCAATGAATAACAAAGCATGTCATCCTTCCCCTCTGTGTCCATGGGGTGTGCTATAACTTCATCAATGAAATAAATCTCTCTTAGGAGACACTGAAAGGAGGAAAACTGGTGGGAATTCATTCCACAATTTGAACAAAGTAAAAGCAAATTCTGTGTATAATAATGAGTATACTTTATAAACTTAAAAGTAGATAGTGTTGAGAAAAATGAAGACATACTCCTTGGGTAGCTTTGTATTACACATCTGAATTGTGATGCCACTATTATATCTAAAATTGAATCTGAAATATGGATAACAAAAGTGACCACAGCCATTATCCATCTCATAATGCAGCTTTTAAAAGGTATACAATTATTAAATTTGCATTAGAAATATAGGTAATTATCTACTGGTTGAAACCACGTATTATTGTTACCAAGTTGACAGGGGGCGGGAGTACAAAGAAACATACATTTTCTTTCATTTGGAAAATGTAAAAATTTATGTACTAATATATAATCTCTTCACTTTTTCTGATCTACAAATAGAATGCGCAGTTATCTTCATGCAAATAAGATATTCAGGATTCAAATACGAAAGCAAATAACAAACAAAAAAACCCTGTAATACACGGATGAATCTCTTTAACAGTTTCTATTCTTTAGCGGTCTTTGATGATTTCAAAATTTGCAGTTTTAGCTCTTTTATCATCATCTCTAACTTCTGTCTTGCCTCTCGCTCCTGTCTGAGTTCATCTTGGAGTTCTTGTCTATCAGCCTCGGCATGGTCCAATCGCTGTCTCAGTTCTGCCAACTGTATGATTTAAAAGGCTGTGTCAGTTTTCATTCAACTTTCTTTTCCCATTTAATTCTATCAGGGCAAAACCTACTTTAAAATTACTTTTTACAAAATGAAATAGTACATGTACACTACAATTACTTAAATGTCTACTACTTTTCACTTGACATTCTGACATAACATCAAACTGAGGAAAATGCAAAGGATCAAGAGGAATGAACATCTATAGCACTTTCATTACAATCTATACTATACCTCTCATTAAAGCCTGTAGCCTGCTCACATTAGTTATCTGTTCATCTCTGAATCGTGAGCTACTACTAACAAAAATTGCTTATTTTATCTCCAGTACTTCTGAATATTGTGAATAATAGCTCATGTTTGTCAATTTTGGGGCGTAAAAGCCTATATACTAAATTAAAATAATATCAAAATTTATATTTTAAAAATGCATCCATTTATGTTTGTGCTATGGGGAATCAAGCCCAGGACCTCAGGCATGCTAACCAAATGCTCTACTATCGAGCTACATTTCTAGCCCAAAATTACATAAAATTTTATATTCAAGTAGCTAGTGATTAACAATTTAAGTAATTAAATTACAGAAACCCAATAAAAGTTTAAAGTAACAAAGGTCAAAACATCATCTTAGACAACACAGCACGGATTTGTGTTTCCCATAATCATCTATCTTCAACAGCCTAATAAAATAAGCCTGACAGATTTGTTTTGTTTTATTTTGTTTTTTGGTACCAGGGATTGAACTCGGGTACTTGCGCTTGTGCAGCAGGCGGCGAAATCACTGAGCTAAATCCCGGCCCTTTTGTTTTGTTTTTTTGAAGCAGGGTCTCTCCCTTTGTAGTTCAGGCTGGCCCTGAACTCACTATGTAGCCCAGGCTGGCCTCGAACTCAGCTAGCCTGACAAATCTTTTTTTTTTTTCTTTTGGTATCAGGGATCAAACTCAGGTCCTTGTGCTTGCGCAGCAGGTGGCGAAACCACTGAGCTAAATCCCTGGCCCTAGCCTGACAAATCTTAATTCCTTTAATAAAGAAATAACAGTTTCCATTTCCATGCTGAAAGGGCAGCATTATACAAACTGAGTAATTCTTACCTGTGCTGCATATTCAGCCTCTTTGTCTTTTTCTAAATTTGAGTCACAGGTACATTTTTGCTTCATTACCTGCTCCAATTTTTTCTCTAAGTCTTTCTGTTCAACATAAAATTCTTCCATTCTTTGAGCATGTTCATTCTGTAAGGATTCAAGCTCCCTCTGCAAATTCTGTTGTTCCTCATTGAGTTCCTTCATAGCTTTTGAACTGCTCAACATTTCTACTTCCTGTAACATTAAAAAAAAAAATCACAATACAATTTTTACTTTAGCTCTACCACATTAAATATTTGAGTTCAGGAAAATATGGGTTAGAAAATATCTGAAATTTGGCTATGAGTCCTATAAAGAAGTAATTATCTTAGCCGGGTGTGGTGGCGCACACCTGTAATCCCAGCACTTAGGAGGCTGAGGCAGGAGGATCACTGTGAGTTCCAGGACAGCCTGGGCTATATAGTGAGTTCAGGGCCAGCCTGAACTACAAAGGGAGACCCTGCCTCAAAAAACCTAATATCTTGAAAAACTATTTTCTCTAAAACTTAGTATTTAAAATTGCCTGTAAGTGTAAACTCTGAATAGCCTGAAGTACATTTTCTGCTCTTCATCTTTTCTTACTGAGAATATGCCAGTGTCTTTTATAATGTACTATTGTTTAGATAACAATTTTACCATCTGCAGTTGTTGCTTCTTTTGCAAAATTGAGTTCAGCTTCTCCTGTTGTTTTATGTAAGTTCTCATTACTTCTTCCATGATCTTTCCCTTATCATCCTCACAAATAACGTCCTTGACAAGAAGCAGAGATGAAGGAGCAGCACCATGTTTGCTTGTGTCTCTTATTAAGTCACAGGTGGTAGAATCAGATTTCTTTTTACTTATAGAATTATTTGAGATTGATGGATCTTTGAGGAAAAAAAAGTATGAATACTGTTAAATCACTAGACTGACTCATAAATGAAATAAAAAAAAATTCCATTTACAAATCAAATTAAAACATTAAGAAATAAACTTAACAAAGTAGTGGAAGATGTATATAATGACAACTACAAAACACTGCTGAAAGAAATAAAAAATGTGAATACATGGAAAGATAACCATATTCATAGATTGTAAAACCGATACTAAGACAGCAATATTCCCTATATGATCAACTTAGTACAACTATCAAAATTCCAACTCATTTTTTTTTTGCAAAAGTAACAAGCATATTCTTCTAAGATTCATATGGAAATGCAAGGAATCCAAAATAGCCAAAAAGAATGAAATCAGAGGACACACAATTCCAAATTTTAAAGCTTACTAAAGCTAAAAATCAGTGGAAAAGAATTCTTAGTCCTGAAAAAAGTAAACCTATAGTTTTGTAGGCAATTGTTTTTTGACTAGGAGGGAAAGATAATGCAATCAGGAAAGAACAGTCTTTTCAACAAATGGACAATTATTTACATGAAAAACAAGACTAGACCTCACATCATGTATAAAAATAAATTCAAAATGGATCAAAGACCTAAATGTAAGAGCTAAAATCTTTAAATATAAATGTTTCTGATCTTGGATTCTAATCTTGGATAAACACTTCTGAAGCCAGTAACCAAAGAAAATAGACACACTGAACTTCACAAAAATTGAAAATCTGTATGCTTCAAGGGTCCCTAAGAAGAAAGTAAACAACTGACAATGGAATACTGCATATAAAATCTGCTATCCAGAATATATAAAGGACTCTTGCAACTCAATAATAAAGAGATAATCCAATTTAAAACAGGCAAAGATGTGAACAATTTTCTCCAAAGAAAATATGCAATGTGCAGAAAAATATAAAAAGATATTCAATCATCATTAGTCATTGGGAAATAACAAACCAAAGCCTCAATGAGATAAATACCGGTTCACAATCACTGCAATGGCTATATTCAAAAGACAGATAATAGAAGTGTTAACAAAAATGTACACAAACTGAAACCCTTCTAAGCTACTAGAGGGAATATAAAATGATACTGCTCCTTTGGAAAACAGTTTGATAGTCTCTCAAATCGTTAACTATTTACCATATGACTTAGCAATTACACTCCTAAATATATATTCAAAAGAAATGAAAACATATCCCCATACTAAAATTTGAGTAAAAGCGTTCATAGCATTATTCCTATCAGCCAAAACATGGATAAATACAAATATCCATCAACTGATAAAAGGATAAAGAAAATAAGGTATATCTACACAATGGAATACTTAGCTATAAAAAGAAAAATACTGACATATGAACATATGAACATGGACTGAGAAAATATTAGGCTTAGTGAAAGAAACAAGACAAAACTCACATGTAACTCTTTATATTAAATGTCCAAAACAGGCAAATGTATAGAGACAGAAAATAGGTTAGTGGTTGCCAGAGGTCAGGGGAAAAGAAGATGAGTGACTGCTGAAAGGATTACAGGATTTCCTTTTGGAGCAATGAAAATGTTCTGGAATTAAAAAGTTGTCATGGCTGCACAACTTTGTGATTATACTAATAATCACTGAACTGTATACTTTAAAGGGGTAAATTATTATATGTGAATTTTATCAACTGTTTTTAAAAACTTACTAGAATTTGGAAAATAAAATACAATGCAAATATGACATAATGGTATATTACTATTTTTTATCATATTTAAATACAAAGGAACTTGAGTTTAAAAATCTCTTAAGTATAGATAGAAAATACTCAAGAGGCCGGGGATTTAAGCTCAGTGGTTCTGCCACCTGTCTGGCAAGCGCAAGGTCCTGAGTTCGATCCCTGGTATGGGGAAAAAAAAAAACAAAACTCAACCATCTTAATTCTTGGGCCAGGGATTTAGCTAACTGGCACCGCACCTGCCTCACAAGCACAAAGTCCCAAGTTCAATCCCAGGTACCAAAAAAAAAAAAAAA